GGCTTCACGCCCTGTAAGGGCTCTGTGAGGCAGTCTCCCCGCTGGTAGGGATGAGAAAGGCACATCAGGAATCACCAAGGATGGAAGAAATGCTTAGGTGCGTAAATTAAGCTCTTGGTGTCAAAAAGTGGCCTTGCCCGTTTCCCATAGTTCTCACTTGACAAGAGAGAAAAGGAGAGAATATTTTGCTGCCTATCAGTACTTTTCATACAAGTAAACGCTGTTGTCGGGAGCAGTGGCTAGCTAAATGTGAGCCAACAGTGTGCGCTTGCAGCCCAGAAAGCCAACCGTATCCTGGGCTGCATCAAAAGCAGCGTGGCCAGCAGGTCGAGGGAGGTGATTCTGCCCCTCTGCTCTGCTCTGGTGAGACCCCACCTGCAGCACTGCGTCCAGCTCTGGGGCCCTCAGCACAAGGAGGACATGGACCTGTTGGAGTGGGTCCAGAGGAGGGCCACCAAAATGATCCAAGGGCTGGAGCACCTCTGCTACGAGGACAGGCTGAGGGAGTTGGGGTTGTTCAGCCTGGAGAAGAGAAGGCTGCGGGGAGACCTTACTGTGGCCTTTCAGTACTTAAAGGGGGCCTATAGGAAGGATGGGGGCAATCTTTTTAGCAAGGCCTGTTGTGACAGGACAAGGACTAATGGTTTTAAATTAAAGGAGGATAGATTTAGACTGGATATAAGGAAGGAATTTTTTACAATGAGGGTGGTGAAGCACTGGACCAGGTTGCCCAGAGAGGTGGTAGATGCCCCATCCCTGGCAACATTCCAGGTCAGGTTGGACGGGGCTCTGAGCAACCTGATCTGGTTAAAGCTGTCCCTGCTCACTGCAGGGGGGTTGGGCTAGATGACCTCTAAAGGTCCCTTCCAACCCAAAGTGTTCTATGATTCTATGACAAATAGGCGTTATGTGCTGGATACACTATTCTTTTTAAAAATAAAAGTATCCATTAAGATGTTTTTCTGTTTTAACACTTGTTTAGTAAAAAAAGGACTAAAAAGAATGCGTGCAAATACTGCAGCCTGGTGCTGTTACAAATATAAATGCTGATTCAGATAACTGTAAGGTATTTTGGAGGGGGAAACATCTTTTATTTATAACTACATAGATGAAGAATGTAAGTTCATACATTCTTCACTGAGACCAAAAATGGTCTTATAATGAGATACAGTACTTTCTCTAACATTTTTTTGTTTTGTGTATAAACCAAGGAAAAACAAGGCCACAATGAAACGCGAAGCATTTTTACAAGTTGTGTCTAAAGAGTCAATTGAAGACTTCTTGCGTTATACTCAGAGTCCTGTAAGTAAGCCATGATACATGTGCATGACTAATAAAATCTTATCTGTTATTAGTGCAGAAATTTTGTGACATAGGGACAGAAACTGCTTCGCTGGTACCTGCAGTGTGCTAGAAAAATTGCTGTAGAAAATAAGCTCAAATGGCACTTAATGGAACATAGTTGAAAAAGTTGTAGAAACTGAAATTTTGCTATTTCTAAACCAGTTAATTGTAATGAATGTAAGCTAATATGCAAACATAGCAGAGGCATGTTTCACTAGTATGTGTTCATTCATTTGATGGTTTAGGCTGTCCACATTCTGTCGTCTGTGTGTAATCATACTTGATAGTTCTTTTTATCACTGAATGTTTTAGAGATGTGATAGATTGCTGTCTCTAAATGCAGTGTGGAGAGAAGCGGGAGGAACAACAAAACAAATCCACTGAAATCTACTAATTAAAAGTTCATTCTCACATTGTGTACATGATATTGCATAGTAATCAGAAATAATAATTTGAATTGTGGTATTTGCCACTAAGCTTCAATCTGTCTGGTATTAAGATATACACTATTTCTCCTAAACATCTTCTGCTAGCGTTAAGAAATGGTGTTGTCAGGTTAGTTTCGTAATCTTTCGAATCAGTATTTTCCTAATATTACCTGTATCAGGTTAAAGTAAGTGCATCATTTGACCTCTATGTCCACAGAGGCATGAACTAATTTACTAATGCAGCAGCTGTATTAAACCTATGATTTCTGTATTAGGGATCATGTTCTGTGTAATAAGCTTAGGAATGTTTGTCTCCCAAACATCACTGAATCTCTTCTTCCAAGAAATTTGCTAGTTTTTTCATTTGCACTCCTGTATATAATTATAGATGACAACTCTGTTAACAGATTGCCTTTCTTGAAGTCTCCTTCCCATTTTCCCCCAAATCTAAACACTTTAACAAGAAACTATTCTGTCTAGGATAACGTACAGTACTTGAAGTGTTTCTTTTCAATTAATTTGGTCGTGTTGTTTCTGCCATCTTCATCCGGTAATCTGTCTTAACATATCTTGGTCTGTTTGGATTAAAAATTGTTTTTTCATCCTTTTATTTCTCATCACCAATTCAGAAGAGCTGTCTTGAAGCAGTTTTCAGCTGTTGCCAATATCTCTGGAAACTGCATATCACCGGCTATAATGAGTATATTGATTAAAACTGTCTTCGTGCCTTCATAGCATAAGGGAACATGAATATCCAGATTACTTTTTGCTTGTCTAAGAGACCTGAGTTATTTTATTCATTTCCTTTTGAAACCTTCAGTGATGAAGAGTGTTTGACCGTGTCTTATCTTAGGATGAGGATTCTCATTTTAGGATCTCCCTTGAATAATTCTTGCCTGCTTTTCTGGAGGAGGCTGTGGTAGTGTATTCTGTCCATTAGAATTGGATGTATAAATGCAGAAAGAAGAGGAAAGCATGGTTAAAGCCTCACTGCTTTCCTTAGTTTTCATGTTACATTTATGTCCTGCTTTTTCTGCATATTTTGCGCTCTGGCCTCAGAATTTGCCTTTTTAAAAAAAAGTTAAAGTTCTGTTCTTAGCATCGCTACTACTTTCAGTGTGTCTCATTTCTATACCTCTCCATCCCCCTTTAATTTTCCTTTTCCCTCCTCTCAATGTTTTGTTTCATTCACACCTTCTAAAATTCCAGGAGTTTGCTGATTTTCCTTCAAGGTTTGCCTTGGGCTTTTCACTTTTCTTTTTTTGTAATCTTTTTAAAATATTACTGTATTGTGGTGCTGTTCAGTGAAGTCTTTATCAGGTGCTGTTAAATTTTTCCACTAAATCCTGTTCCAATTCAAGAAAATAGATTATTTCTTGGACAGGAAAACAGGAATCACAGATATGACTATCATTCAATGACATCCCTTTCCCTCATAGGTTTTGGAATAATTCCATCTCATATCATCCCAAAGAAAGATCAGAAAGCTCTGGTCTTATTATGAATTCATTCTTTTTGTTCAAAACAGCACAATCTTAATATCCTGTCTTTTGTGCTTGTTTGAAGTAGAGGGCTGCAGAACTCCCTGTGTGGCCTTTGGTTTATTGTATTTTTTCCCAGCCGTTTCCAGAATAGAATAGAAGTTCTGCTATAAATATGTAACAGGATCTTTCTTCTCATACCCTTCTGGGAGCCTTCTAATACTTACTGCTGCCTCTTTCATTGTTTTCCATTTTTCTTTTTGTCTTCAACTTTTTTTTTTTTAATTCCTTTTCTTTTAGTGTATCTGCAAACTGAAAATAGTTTTATTTCAAGATCATGGGCATTCTCCCTCTTTCCGCCAAAGTGTTTTTAATCTGGTAGACGTTTACTTCAGTATTACAAGTTACATCTCAAAAATTGTCTGTACTTCCTCTTGGCTGTGTCTGGTTTTGCTTCTCATATTTTGTCTGCATATTGCCTTTTGTAGCAGGTTGCCTACCCTTCTTTGGTGCTAACGGGCTCTTTGTGTCTCTGAGGTAAATTCTTCTAGCAAGGTTCTTCTGAGGAAATAGTTCTGATCAGTCTCTTAGTGAAGTCTTTTATAGAGACTAACAGTGGCTTCCCATTCAGCAGAGCTTAAGAGGGAAGTATAGGGGTAATGTGCTCATGAGTTAGGTTTCATGGGGGGCTTTAAAATAGTGCCATACACAGGGCACTGTTCTGTGCAGATTGTACTCCAAAACCTGTAGTGCTGTCCCTATGGCTGTACTGACTGTTACACTTCTAGTCCTTGTGTAAGGGTTTTCTTTCAACAGCTATCAGCGAGCTATATTTAAGATAGCAAAGATATGATTAAGGACTTCAATTCTGTGCAGTTGTGAGCTTCTTAGCTAAAGGTATGGAATTGTCTCCATTGGGAACAAAGTATTTAGAACACATGAGAGACAGAAGTTGATGTTACAGGGACGTGATTTATGTTCAGTAGTGTTGCTGTCAAGGGCTAAAGACTTTAGTCTTAAAAGAAGCACTCTTGTTTCAAGGTAAGGAGTTAAGGAGCAGGAATTTCTTGTGCTATTTTTTAAAGAAATACAACTTCTAGAAGGTTCTATAACTCTAAAGGAATGGAAATTAATCCTTATTATAAAAAAGTGTTAATTTTAGGAAATACGATGATGAAATGTAAGCCACTACACTGATGTGGAATTGTGTGATATCTTCTGACTATTCACAGAAAAATACATTTGATCCTTTTGACTTGAATGAGCTACTTCAAGAATTGCCAAGAAAGCAAAAAGAAGTGCTATGGGAGAGACTGACGCAGCTATTGACAGAGATGTTGATGGAGAACCCTGTGGAAACATGGCAGAGGATTGAAGATAATGAAAGTAATAATGACATGGAAGTTGAGATAGTTCCAGAAACGGTAAAAATCTTGTAAAATAAAAATATCATGCATGTTTCTTATTTTCTGAGAAATAAAATGAAATATTTTCATAGTATCTGAAAACATGCAAGGGTTATCAAACAAGGTTGGTTCCAAACATCATCTCCCTTTCCCATTCTTTACTGACTTCTTAACTATCATTACTGGGTTAAGCTGAACTTATGATTGGTCTATATTATAAAAGATTAGATCTGCTGAATTATTTTAATTATAAAAGATGGGACTTAGTTTTTTCACTAGTTGAGTGGGCTTTTTTTATGTCTTATTTCAATAAACAAATGTTGATCTCAGATGTTCCTTAAGTATCTGCATATACTATAAGAAATTCACTACCTGTTTTATTATGTCATTTTACTGAATGAAGATCATGAAATCCAAATTTGAATGCCCCTCCCCCAAATTTAGCTTATACAGAATTTCTCTGACTCAGACCCTCATATGCTGCCTTCTGCACTGTAGTCCATGCAGTCTTGAGAATATCGGGGAAGAAGGTCATTTAATTTTGGAAGAAAAAAAGAAGTGCAGTGAGGAGATCATTAGGGAGACCTAGAAAATCTGTCATACATACAGAGGCCTAGAGAATGATGTACCTGTATCTACAGTCACCAGATCTACACGTTTTTGAGTTGCACAGGGCCCTGTTAGGTAGGGGCTTTTTAGTTCTGAAACGGATGTGTATTTGAGAGATTTTGTTGTGGATGAAGTTTTTAATGGCAGAATGGATACACAGGTACAGTCACTGAATTACCTACTAGCTGGAGCTGAAAGGCATTTTCAAACTTTTTGAAATGGAAGTGCTTTCAAATCTATGCCGTTGCCTCTTCTTATTTAATAGGTTTTGGGTGCCAGTATACTCTTTGTTCAAAATGGAAGCTAAATAACAATTCAGCTTTGCTCTCTGTTGCTAAGGTTTATTTCTTGTCATAATTATCTTCTGAGTATAAAATAAACTACAGAATTGTTTCCTTGACATTGCTTTCTTTCAGAAACAAACTGTAGCTGTGATCCAGGGAGTGACAGCCGTGGTTACTGCTTCCATACCTGCAGTGGATGAAACTGTAAACTACAAAGCTCTTCTAGAATGTGTTTTTATAGTAAATGGTATGTACTTATCTGTTATAGAATACAGCATTATACTGTTTTTTTAGCAGATGAGTGTGCTAGGCTTTTTGTTTGACCTGACTGGCCTGTGGAACAGAATTTACAGGAGAAAAGTTGGTACTGATGTGGGTTCTTATGTGTGAGACAAAATTAAGGGAGCATTTACTTAAAAATCAGTTACACAGTCTAAAAGTTGGAACCTAAATAGTTTTCTTTCTCCCAACTGTTCACCCAATGATAGATAACTTTCCTTATTCTGTGGCTTATAGTACTTTTAAGGCAAAACTTAAGATCACTGTTAACTTTGGATCATTGTTACCAATCCAAAAACTTGGCCAAAACTTTAAGAGTTAACAAAGCTGCCACAGTTAGAATAAGCCATTAAGATGTGTAAATGTGGCAAGAGCTGGTTGACATTGTGAGGTATAGCTGGTGTACTAACAGACTAATGTTTTACAGGAATAATTTGGCTCATTGCAATAAATGATTACTTTATTACTGTTGTAGGTATTCTTCCTGCATTACCTGAATCTGAAAAAATCCTACAGGATGCTATCCAACGTGTATGTGAAATGTGGTGGGAGAAAGGACTGGAAGGGAAAGCTAGGGAAGACTCTATTTATCATTCTGCTAAGAAAAAGCCTGAATAAAGCTGCTACGGTATGCTGAAGCTATATTGCCTTTTAGATTACTACCGAATATTCCAAGAAAGATTATCCCTCCAAAATACCTTTTAGTTCAAATTAACTTGTTTTCCATGTCCTAGTGCCTCTCAATTAATGAAATAATTAATACATGGTTACATGTTGGTTACAAAGTGTCTTCTGGGTGTTGTTTGCATAAGCAACATATTAAAATGTTGCCTTCTCCAGAACAAACTAAAGATTTTTCGTGTCATTTTCGCAACTGTCCTGGTTTTGGCTGGGATAGAGTTAATTTTCTTCCTAGTAGCAGGCATAGTGCTGTGGTTTGGATTTAGCATGAGAATAATGCTGATAACACACTGATGGTTTAGTTGTTGCTGAGCAGTGCTTACACTAGTCAAGGACTTTTCAGCTTCCCATGCTTTGCCAGGTGCACAAGAAACTGGGAGGGGGCACAGCCAGGACAGTTGATCCAAACTGGCCAAAGGGCTATCCCATACCATATGGCGTCATGCTCAGTATAGAAATGGGGGGGAGTTGGCCGGGGGACTGGCTCGGGGACTGGCTGGGTGTCGGTCGGCGGGTGGCGAGCAATTGCATCACCTGTCTTTTTTCCTGGATTTTGTTCCTCTTTTTGTTGTTTTCCTTTTCATCGTTATTATCATAATTATTATTCCTTGATTTTAATTACTAAACTGTTCTTATCTCAGCCCACGAGTTTTCTTACTTTTGCCCTCTGGATTCTCTCCCCCATCCCACTGCGGGGAGGAGGCGAGTGAGTGGCTTTGTGGTGCTTGGTTACAGGCTGGGGTTAAACCACAACAAGTGAACTGGGTTTTTTTTTACATTCTCCTTTTTTTTTTTTTTTTTTTTATATTGTCTTTTTTTTTTTTTATTTCTTCACTCATTTGTAAAGCCCAGTGGCTAAGGTTTAAATAGCATTTAACTCTTTTAGTTAATCCAGATCTTAAGTACTAAGTTCAGCTACTCATAGAGGTTTCTTATGTGGGAAGCTTCTTTTTCTGTCACTCTGTATTTCTACAATCTTTTTTTTTACTGTGTGAGTTAGAGTATTGTAGCATACATCTTTTGCACTAACCCAATAAATATCTCCTTTACTTATTTCTTTCTTTTATTTTTTCCTGTTAATGGCACTCATTGTATAAAGTTTAAAAAGTGGAATAATACAGTTTTTATCTATTTTGCATGAAATACCATCTTTCTTTCTGTACTGAGCGTGTCTTCAGTTGTTGCAAGTCAGTATTTCTGCAGTTAAACATATTTTAGTAATTTTTCCCAATGATGTGGTGAAAGTCAATTAATGTTCACCATTTTACAATCTGAAAATCTTCTATCTGTAACAATGCATTTCAAATTCATTATTTAAAATCCTTTAAATGCTTCTTCACATTAAAGCTATACCTACTTCACTATAATGTGGCCTTTTTTTTTCCTGCCAGGGTGCAGATGTAGTTCGTCTATGGAATCTGCATCAGACGTTACTTTGTTTTGATTATGATTCTGAGGAGAGTAATGAAGTCAAGGACTTGTTGCTTCGTTGTTTTATGAGTGTAAAACACATTAAAAAAGAAGAGGTAAGCAAACTTTTATCTTACTGTGATTTTATGTGAGTGGGCTTTGGTTACTTTTAATAGTTTTACATTAAACCTTTTTTTACAGTACAGTAGTAGCAATACAAGACAAATCAGCCCTGACTCCAAGGTATAAACGGTTGATATTTCTGTTTCATCTGGAAAACCCTTTATTCCTATTTCCAACTTAAATATAAAAGTACATGTTTAAATCATCACTCAGGTTCTTGTATCCTGAGGTAATAAGAACCAAGTGCTTTGCTTCCAGTGCATGTTCCTCAATACTTAAAACCATTCCCTAGTATAATTCTCTTCTTTTATAGCAGTTTTTCTTTTATTGGAGATAGATAACTGTAGCAAAGTAATTTCCCTTCTAAATGATTCCATTTAGAAGATTGCATTGCCATAGTCTGTTTTAAAAGTAGCATAAGAAGAACTCAACTTTACAGCAAAATGAGAATTATTTTATTTGACTACCTATATTTCTCTCGGTGAAGAACTGCTGTATTATAGTTTTTAGTGTGTACCAAGATAGTAGTATCCAAACTTCTTTTTCTGGTTAGGTGACAAGACAACCTGTCTCCTAAGTTTTAACTCCTCCTTGCCTGTTTAAAATGCATATATTCCCTTTCATGGAATATGTGAACTTTTGTCAGAAAATGAGCTCTGAGGTTGCTGCATGATTGTGGCACTATGGGCATATGGGGTTTTAAAATGGTGGTAGGGAGTGAATTGGGTGAAATGTTTGATAGACCAGGTTTTGGATACCTGACACTAAGGGTTTTTTTTGTTTGTTTGGGGATTTTTTGTTACATACACATTGCCTTAGTACATCCCAGTTTTAGTCAAAACATATGAAAATACAATGTGTCAGGTAGTCAAAACATATGAAAATACAATGTGTCAGGTGGGAAAGGAAGGAGAGAAAACATAGATAGAAAGAGGGAAGACAAGTAAGACTTTAACTGATTTGGTATTTGGTTTTATGTCCTTGGTATATTTCATTTTAGGTCATTTTTTGTCCTCTTGAAAAAGTGTGTAGCTGTATGCTTTCTTTGTCACAGTACTTAAAATGCCTTAGCTATATTTGATTCTGTATTAATAATTTTCTTCTATTTTATTTGAATCCACTGCATCACTTTAATATTTCATATTCATATAGGCACAGTAAATAATTGGAGATTATGTATATAAAATGAAACTGCTATCTAGGCTTCAGAAGCAACTTCTTGTTGTTATCTTTTTTCTTCCACATCTTGTGAAATTTTTAATAAAACACGTGTTAATTACTACACACCAGTTTTTCTAAAGAAAGGTTGTACATTGAATCTTTAGGTGAAACACAGCCTTCAGTATGAAACTTTTTTTAAATTTTGGGAGAAAACCGGTAAGAATCAGACTTTGTACTCGATCTTTCTCCTGGCATATCAAAACACATCCCCTTTGTTCCACACAAATACGCAAGTTTGGTCACACTTTGCACATTTACTTTTCAACCCAAGCTTTTGCTCTTCCTTCCTTCTTGTGATTTCTAGTCTCTTCACATTTTGTCATGTTTTCTTTTTCATATGTCTATGTCTTTCTAGGTAGATATAGAGAGCGTCTTAGTGCACTCTTTGCTCTGGCCCGTGATCATTAGTGGTTTAAATCCTTAATCCTGAATCCTTAGCTTTATGGCTAGAAGGATTGGCTGAAAGTAGCAGCTCCCAGCTGGGAGTTGAATTTGCATTCTGTTAGTCCATCCATTCTTTTATGATAAAGGTGAAAGATCTAAAGCACTGTTCACAAATATAGACTCTTATTGATTACGTCCAATCTTCTCACCAGTTCTTTCCATTGAATTATTAGTATTGCCTGCCAAGAATCAGTTCTGAGTGCTGAAAACTTTGAGTGGGCTTGGGGAGCTTTCTTAATTTCAGAGAATATCTTTTTAATATTACTGAGGTTTGTTTATTAGCCTAAACCTCTTTACAAAAAGATACAAAGGCTATTGGTGCAGCTGACATCCATATTCACTGTTGCCAGATTCAGCTGTGGACCTGGTCTGCTTATTAGATTATGATAGTGGGTAGAACTTGATAGGGTATCTCCCTTTTCAGGGCTTCCAGGACCTGAAAGAGCTTCAGGCTCTTCATCTTCAAGCCTGATAAGCTCTCACATGTAATCAAGGGTAATTTGGCCATTCTCAGACTTTTTGTTAATTTTAATCTGTACCTGTTTAGGAATGCTCTGGGTTTGGTTTTTGGTTGTTTTTTTTTTTTCTCCCCCAAAAAAAGTTTAACATGGGAGGGAGAAGAAATAATAGTTGCTGCTCCTCCTTCTTTTTCTGATTATTCCTAAGTAAAGTTGCTGAGCATTAATGTTAGAATTAAGGAGTTTGATGTTGGAAGGGACCTCTGGAGATCATCTAGTCCAACACCCTTGTGCAAAGCAAAGTCAGCTCAAGCAGGTTGCTCAGGGCTGTGTCCAATTGGGTTTTGAATATCTCCAAAGATGGAGACTTCACAACCTCTCTGGGCAACCTGCTCAAGTGTTCAATCACCCTTACAGTGAAAATAAAAAAAATAAAATAAAACTGAAAAATATTCCTTATATTTAAGAGGCTTTTCTTGTATTTCAATTTGTGCCCATTGCCTTTTGTCGTGTCACTGGAAACCCACAGGTATCATCAGCACCTCTCCCTCCACCGCTCCCCCTTGAGGCAGTTGTGGATTGCAGTGAGGTCATCCCTCAGCCTTCTCTTCTCTAAGCTGTACAAACCAAGATCATTCAGCAATTACTGTCATGGGCAAAACAGACTTGACTTGGGGAAATTAATTTATTGCCAGTTAATAATGGACTAGGATAATGAGAAATAAGAACAATCTTAATACACCTTCCCTTCACCCCTCCAGTCTTTGCAGGCTCAACTTCACTCTGGACTTCTCTAACTCCTCCCCCTGAGCGGCCCAGGAGGATGGGGAGCAGGGGTTGAGGTCAGTTCATCACACGCTGTCTCTGCCACTCCTTCCTCCTCACGCTCTTACCTTGCTCCAGTGTGGGGTCCCACCCATGTGAGACAGTCCTTCACTAACTTCTCCAGCATGGATCCTTCCCACAGGCTGCAGTTCTTTATGAACTGCGCCAGCATGGATCCTTTCCCTGCGGTGCAGTCCTTCAGGAACAGACTGCTCCAGCGTGGATCCCCTGTGAGGCCACCTGTCCTGCCAGAAGACCTGCCCCAGCATGTGCTCTCCAGGGGCTCACAAGCTTCCTTCAGGGCACATCTACCTCCTCTGGTGTGGGGTCCTCCCCGGGCTGCAGGGTGGATATCTGCTCCACCGTGGACTTTTGTGGGCTGCAGGGGGGCAACCTGTGTCACCATGGTCTTCATCATGGGCTGCAGAGGAGTCTGCTCCTCCCCCTGCTTCTTCACTGACCTTGGTGTCTGCAGGGCTGTTTCCCTCACTTTCTTCCTACTGTTGTTGCACAGCAGTTTTTACCCCTTCTTAAACATGTTATCACAGAGGTGCTGATTGGCTTGGCCTTGGCCAGCAACAGGTCCATTTTGGAGCCGGCTGGCTCTGGCTCCTTCTGACAGGGGAGAAGCTTCTAGGATCTTCTCACAGAAGCCCCTCCCTGCAGCCCCACTGGCTACCTAAACCTTGCCATGTAAACTCAATACAGAAGTCACTCTACATCCTTGAGGAAACTAGTTAAAAATAAGAGGGGAACCACAACACATTCTGGAAAGACCCCAAGATAGGGTTCAGTTAATAAGGTGTCTGAAACCAATTTAGACATCTACACAGGAGCCTAATATGTACAGGTCCTGGGAAGGTTTTAATTGCTTAAGTGTAAGTGAAAGACCCGTGCTGTTAAATGGCCTAAGTTGCTTCAGACATCCACATGAGGCTGGCACATAAAACACAGGATCTGTCATAGATCTCTGCCTTCTAGAAAACCACCTGAGTGTTTAAAATTGCTCTATGTGTGTTCAGTGGCATACTGCCCCTAGTCAGTGGAGTTAACAGAAGAATTCAGCTTCATAAAGCAGTTACTAAACAGCTGATCACCTGAATCACTCTCCAGGCAATTAACATTCTAGGGACTTAAACATCCAAATTTAGATGTCTCAGTTTGTGAGCTGAAACATAACTTCAGTGTGTGAACTGCCATTACAGATGCAGAATGATAACTGTCTGGGATTTTTCTAGCTCTGCAGGCAGGAGATTTAAGCGTTCACAGTATTCAAACCATTTTCCTGTTGCTGTGAAACTACTGTACTTCTGGTGCAAGTCCTTCTGTTTTGGGATTTTGCATCCTGATGGAGTTTAGTTTTAGTGGCAACCCGCCTCATGTGTGTTCTCTAGTTTCCCTGCCTGGCTCATTTTGCTGACGGTAGGTTTCTTGTAGCAACATGTCCAATATGCCCCCAGTATCTCTGCTGGACCTTTTTCTTACATTCTGTGTCTATTTCTAAAATGCTAATAGTCATACCAAATATCAATGTGATGTATGAATTGCCTTGAAATGAAACTGAACTCCTATGTATCAGGGCTAATATTCCTTTTATTGCCTGCAGGCTTGTTCTATAGTTCTGAAGAAAAGTATACCTGATACTTTTTAGAGTACATCCCAGAGTGTAGCTCCATAGCCGTTTAAGCTGATGTAACTCCAGGTTGCAATGATCCTGTGTTGCCTTGGGCTAGCATTCCTCTTTTCCTCTCTGCAGTATGAATGCTCAAGCAGCTGTGTCATAGGTTGATTCAAGGAGGTATCAGATCAGGTTTTTTCCTAGTAAGATTACTTTTCAGCCAGATTAACTGCCTGGATTGATCATATGCAAGGATGAAGGGAAGGGGAGGGTCAGGAATGCGGTATTCTGGTTCTAGATGAGATCAAACTGATACAGAATTGCACATTTATGCCTCACTGCAAGATCAGGGTGTTCATTTTTTCTGCCTTCCCAGATTGTGCTATTCAACAGAGAGTAATATTTCTCAGAGGCTTATTTTTGGGCTGCATTAGTGGAGTGATGCTCTGAATTTATCTCTCTCTGTGATTTATGGAAACATTCTTGTTCAGGTGGGGTTTCCAATCAAACAGCTGGAGAGCCCTGCAGAGCATATAGGTATTGTGTTTTAGAGGTAGGCCTGTCCTACTCTCTTCTTCCTTGCTAACCTTCTGTGTGTGTATACAACTGACAGTCACTTGTACTATGTCCACAAGCACAGCAGTACAAGGTGCTCAACATTCTGTTAACCCTGAAGATGACAAGTTTGCAATCTTATTCACCTATCACCAGTTAACCTCTCATACCAAGAATGTTGATAACAGTAACCATTTCAGATCCATTGATCACAAGCAGCAGATTAAATTAGAGGCACTTGCTATCATTTTCAGGATCAGGGTCAATCTGTTGAAATCTGAGGCAAAAAAGAATTGGTTGAACTGCTGAAAGCTCCTTTGTGACTTTTTTTCATCTGTCTTGCTGCTGGGATTGTGGAAGGTGAGATGAGTTTTGCCTCATCTTTGCCTTGTTGAGGCAGGACTCCCTTGACCTTTTGGTTTGTCAGGGATGTTGATGGAAGAGTGCACCACTGGGACTCCAATATATGTATTACACCACCGAAATTGGAGATAAGTGACTTTTTTTATTAATTTTTTTTTTTTCTGGGTAGAAGACGCTCTCATTGTCAACAGGAAGGATTCCATTGGACCTGTAGACAAGGATATTGACATTGCATTTAGCCTTTAGGTCTTGATTTTTATGATCTTCTGAATTACTTCTTGACCTGAGGGCAATTAAGCTATCAGTTCCACTAAAGGGCAGTTTCTGCCTATATGCTTCCTTCCCTCTGCCCCTACTTTATGATATTCCAGCTCAAAGTGTGTCAGGCATTATCAGCCTTATTTTCTCTATTTTGTCATAGGTCTGAGCATAACTGTTGGTCCAACTCTCAATGGAAGTGCCTTTGAACCTCTGCTAATTGTTCAGTGCACCTTTTGAACTTTTGCTAATGTGCTTTTTACTATTATACCTCCTTATTAATTTTCCTGAGTTATTTTTGGCTAGAAAGCTGACAGGTATAAAGGATCCCTACAACTGGCTGACTCACTTTTATGTATGATCAAACTTTTCAAAGTCTTAGAAGCTGGATGCCTTCACTTCATCTGTAGGGTGAGCCAGAGTGAGGCTGGCTGTACAGATACTGTGGAAGGCTCTAATTCCATGGGCAGATGTTGCTGATTCTGGAAGAACAAGGGCTTATTTCCTCCATCCACAGCCTTCCACTGCCTTTTCTTGCAAAAATTCTGTTGCTTATCAGATTTGTCATCACCATTTCTTACTTGCTAAAATGGAGGAAAAATAACTCAGGAAAAAAACCAGAATGTTTTTTTTGCCTGTCTTTGTGTATTAAAGCAGCTCCAGGAGGTTTGCAATATCACCTTTCATGAGGCAATAGAAAAGGAATTGGCCTTGCTAATCAGAACATGTATTTTCCCCCGTGGCCCAGCTGTTCTCTGTGGCTTTGTTCAAAAATGTTTCCACATCCAATGCTGACAGAGTTGTTGTGCTATTTTGTTTGTACCTTCACCGTCATTACAGCGTCATCCTGGAATGACCTTGCACTTGACAGAGCTCTGATGATATGCCCTTGATGAGGGTCCTGAGTTGCACAATCCCTTATCATCATGGTTTACGGCTTGAAGGCACACCTAAACAGAATGGACATTGAAAAAAATGCAGGCAGAAATGTAATCCACATGTTCATTTGTTTTGCATTTTCTCTTCAGTATAAATAACAGTAATGCTTGAATTCTGTTTAAAAATTAAGAATCTTACTTTTTTTCCCCTGCAACAATCTCATCTATGCTTTTTAAAATTAAAGGCGTCATTTCTTTTGATATTTAAGCTCTGTATTTACTGATTTTTGAGGTGGCTCTTAAGTTGGGTATTCCTCTGGGGTTTGACTTCCTTTTTTTTTTTTTTTTTTCCCCCTCTTTTCCTCTCCCAATAGGGAAGAAGATTCTTGAGCTTTTTGTTCAGCTGGAATGTAAACTTCATAAAAATGATACATGGAACTGTTAAAAACCAATTACAGTTTTTTCCGAGGTATGCATCACAGTTAGAGTTCTTAATGATTGTTAAGAGCTGGGCTAAAATCTTGTTTGTCTCACACTCTAAAATACCTACTATATTGATAAAATACATCAGAATTCAGACATCTTCAAAAGTTGCTAAATATAACTACCGCATTGTTTCAGTAACTTCATTTAATAGTTGCTCTGCACATGCTTATATATACAACTTACAGGTGTAGTAAAATGCTTATTTAGCATTAGCTAAAGCAAATGACTTTCATATCAACTGTGCTGCATTGCTTGCAGTGTTTATGTGAGAACTGTAGGTCCATTTCTGCCTCTGTAAGTTGTTATTTTTTTCTGTGAGCAACCTCTAATTTAATTTGGTAAGATTTTATATAGAGACATTCTAATAAGAAGTCACCTGCTGGATCATAGCCTGAGAACTTGACAGATGGATGAAAAACACGGATTTTTTTTTCCTTTGATTATTTAGTAAAATATTACAGAAGTAATTCTTCATATTAAAATCCGAGGCTTTCTTATACTTTCAGTTAGAATAATGTATACCTGTACATCTTTATGAAGAATTTAGGGCATTCATTGTGAGACAAATGATAAAATAACTGTGCTAATGTTTTGACTTTCCCACCATAAGAGATATTTCCTGTGTTTTTTAATAGTGCTTGGGTTCATTAATTAACAATTAACTTTGTTTTTCTGTAATTATCAATGTAGACTTTCAAGATATTTGCTTCTTCTAAGAATAATGTTGATGCACAGAATTAGGAATAAAATTGGTACTTATGAAAAACCAAGGAACCTTACCTTTATGAATTGTACATAGATATGGTTAGGATGCTTGCTTGAAAGTGTTTCCCATATGTTAATACAGATCCTTGATGGAATACATTTCAGAAGTTTACTTCAGGGCCTGGAAGAAGGTGTCAGGAGAATTCTTAGAGGTAATACTATGCTTGAAGTTTCATTTAGGTAGTTTTGAATTTCAAAATGGAGAAGGTACATGACTTTGCAGCCTCAGAAAGGTTCCTAAGCAAGCCTTAAGCCTTATTTCCCTAAGGAAAGGGCCTCTTCAGCGTTGTCAAGGAATAAGAGCGTGTGATGCTTTGAAAGTTTGCCTCCTGTGATCAGTTTGGTTGCATTTAAACACCTTTAAATCTACTGCTGAAATATTGGTTCTTGCAACTATGCATATACAGAATGTTTTTTGTAAACACACGAGTTATCTGAGTTATTGAAGCTTTTATTCAGTATGTGGAAGTCTATACATTTGATAGCTAAAATATTTATCTAGGTTTTGTGGATTTCTATGGAGGTGATCAAAAGTATAATTACATCATCACAACAATGCTACAGCCAAATTTCACATACTAAATAGTTCTTATTTACCATGTGGAGGTGCTTTTGAATTCCAAACTTAGTTCTGAGGATCAGATTAATTGTATACTCTGAAATTTTGAAAATCAGTTTAAGCAGAGGCCCCTAGCATGGGAAAAAATGGGCCTAGCAGAAGCCCAGTAAGAAATAATATCAAAGACTATTTTCAGTTGTTTTTTTTAGAGAAAAATAAAAGTTGCTGCACAGCCTACAGTACTTATTATTGTTTTATTGTGTGTTAACAGTAGCATGCATGTGTTTTTACTGTAGATACTTGAACATAGCTGCATTCAGGATTTCATGCATCATGGAATTCATCTTCCCAGAAGTTCTCCTGTTCATTCTAAAGTTAGAGAGGTAAGTTCCTGTGAAACATGACATGAACTAGCAGCATCAAAATCAGATCAGTTGCCATAAATGGAAAATTTCCGCTAAAATACTATACTAGATCTGGCTGGAATGGAATTACTTTTCTTCATAGTGGCCCGTATGGTGCTGTGTTTTGGATTTTGACTAAAACAGTGTTGATAACACCAATGTTTTGGCTGTTGCTGAGCAGTACTTGCATGGTGTCAAGGCATTGTCTTCCCCACTCTGTTTCCCTAGCGAGTAGGCTGGGGATGAGCAAGAAGTCAGAAGGGGGTACAGCCGAGGCAGCTGACCCAAACCAAAGGGATATTATATGCCATATAACATCATGCTCAGCAACAAAAATTGAGGGAAGTGGATTTGGGGTAGATAGCCATTGCTTGGAGACTGGCTGGGCATTGATCTACTTGTGGGAGGTGGTGAGTCATAGCATCTGCATCACTTGGTTTGTTTTTTTCTGTCTTCTTTCCTTCACTTATTAAACTGTCTTTAGCTTGACCCATGAGTTTTCTTGCTTTTCTCTTCCAAATCTCTCCCCTACCCCACTGGCAGGGGAGTGAGTGAGTGGCTGTGTGGTGCTTAGCTTATGACTGGGGCCAATCCACCACACTTACTTAAAAAGTAGCATATTCTGAGAAACAACATTAGAACAAATTTTAGGAGGAACCTGCTTATAGTTTTGCACCAGATTTGTCTTTGGTGCTCAAAAGTAGAAATATAAGGGGATTTTCCAGAGTGCCAGAAATAGCTTTTGCCATATGTTGTCTAACTTTTTCTTTACCTAGAGAGTTGACCTTTCCATAGCCAATCACAGGGACGAAAAGTCATAAGCTCCTTGAGGCAAACTTAGCAGATGGGTCTGGAACTAAACTTGGGGGGGTTTTTTTGGTTATATATGAGGGTTTTGTGTATATGTTTATAAGGACAAGGCTTGATTCAGTTAGAGATTCTGGTTGTCTATCTGTGGCTTTCATGAGCAAAACATTTGAAGCAGAATGAGAAATGCACAAAGCTTTTTAAGACAAGGCATTTGTATTTGATCTATGCCCCTCCACCTCCCATGCTTTCCCCCAAATATATAGATGCTGGAGTGTATAGTATGTGCAATATATAGCTTGATATACCAGTATACAATCCTATGTTGGTTTTTTTTATTTGTTTTGGTTTGGGTGTTTGGGTTTTGTTTTGTTTTTAATCAAATGTAAATAGATTCTCATATCTATAGTGGATTCCCTTGTCCTCTGATTCCTGACTGATGTAGGCTTTTGACAGGGCTTTTCATGTTTTTCAGACTCAGAAGCTTCTGATCTTGAAAGAGGACAGTGATGTAAACAAATCTGTCTTTGAGTTGCCAGGGGAGTGGGTCTCAGAATAAATTTGAATGCTGCGTTCTTTTTCAGTATGCAAGAATTTGATTTAAAATGGCCCTTTAGAATCCAGAAGTTCCTGTAGCAATTAGGAGACTAATCAACCACAGTCATTCACTTGAGTGAAGTTTGGGCTGTTTTATTGAAAGAGAGGGGAGGGGAAAGCAAAATGTACAACTCCCCCTTCTGAATTCAAAGTTTATAAGATTATAAAACCTATGTCCATTATGCAAATATCTGATACTGTTCTAATGAAATCTATTACAAAACAGTACTGATTTGCCATTAATCCTGGATTAGATCTGTTGTTCTCATGGAGAAATAAGAGCTACATAGTCTCTTCTAAATATATCTTTACTTCAGTATATTTCAAAAACAGAGAAAAGGGATTCTTCTACTATAGCTCTGTTTCTGTGGATGCTATTTACAGGCTTCCCTGTCTAGTTGTAGCTATGAATACCTGAAGAATTCAAAGCTGCCACTAGAGGGTCAACTTCTTTTCAAACTGTCCAGTGTTTTGGGTGGAGGAATTACTTCCTATCAAGTTACATGATGTCCTTTCTCATATTCTGCTCTGGTCTTCTACTTTCCTTTTTTGCCTGCATAATTCATATACAAAAATGACAGGGGCTTTACCTAAGAAAGCACAGTTCTAAGTCAAAAGGAGTGCTGATACTAGCTTTTCATCAATGCATACAAAATATATTATGTATGTAGATTTCTATTTGGATAACTCGAGTTACCAAATAATGTTCCTTTGTTCTTAACAGAGAAATGGGTTATTTATCTGTAGTTTATAATTACATGGTTTCAAAGTATTTCTGCTAGTTACTTTAAAAATAGAGTTTTTGACTATAACAAAAAATGAGTGGTTGCTGTGAAACTGACTCTAGCCATGATTTGATTTCTCAGTTGTAGATCTTTATATAGATTTATTGAATCTATAAAATTTTAAAATGTGATTTTTATTAGATCTATTTCTTTTTTTTTTTAATTTTGAGATTTTTTAAATGAAACATATGGTCAGTTAATACATTTAGTTTTATCATTTTCCATAGTATGGAAGACTTTTTGGTCTTGTGTAAATGATGAAATGAGGCAACTCCTGCATACTTCCTGCATGTAAGAAGCACTGTTAAAAATGGGGTTTGGGATTGGTTTCTTTGTTTTTCTCAGATGCTGAGCTATTTTCATAAACAAAGTAAAGTTCGTCAAGGAATTGAAGAAATGCTCTATAGATTGTATCAACCTATCCTTTGGAGAGCACTGAAGGTAATTATCCTTTTCAGAATATAGGACTATCTTTCTCCAACTACAAAATTTTGGATCCCTCCCACATGTTCTGTTTTTAATAATTGCTTTTAAAATAAAACGGCTATGGGGAAAAAAAATCAGTGTGTTTAGCATCTCAGCTGTAGCAGAGTAACTTTGCAAGTTGTAATTAAACATAGTTTGCACAACAATATTCTAATTTGTTAATTTACTTCTATAATTCAGTTTTGTTTACAGGTACACAGAGTGCTTTCCAGGATTGCAGTAGACAGTGGGACTGAGTTTGGTCTTCTCATCTTCTCAGTTTGGGAATTTTGTGTAGTCTTGTATTCTCTTTTCAAAGTTCTTTACTGAATGATCAGTGCTTTATTGATCAAAGCCAGAAATGTTCAGAGGATGATTTAGTCTCACCTTCTGATTAATTACCAGCCTTAGAATAAGGCTCAATTAATTTATTAGAGTACTATTTTAGAAAACCTTTTATTCTAGTTTGGTTGTATATGGTTTTATTTTGACAGCTTCTACTACATATGCAGTTAAGCACTTTAAGCTTAGCCATTAACAGGCACATCAAATAGGTCATGGTGAATTTGTTTTAATACAGCAAAAGAATCCAACTGTTGTGAAGACAGGTTTCAGAATGGTAAAAGGAAGACTGTAAAAAATTGAATGCAGCAATTATATGAATCATGTAATGATTCAATGCAAGGAAAAATTCTGTATTCCAAATGATTCAGTACCATATTTGTGATTGGTGAAAGGAAGTATGTGACTGAACGTCAAAATCTGGCAATTTATTTTTGGATAGACTGCTGTCTTGTTCTGTGAATTTTGTATAGTTAATTTTTCTTTTTCATATAGTACTGCTGAAGTATTTGGCATTTTTACGATAGCTGTTGCTGTGACTCAGAATCACCAGTAGTTTAAGATACAGAACTAAGAAGGGAAGTTTATAATTGTCCTTACTGGTATGGATTCTGCTCCAGAGCTTGAAATGTCAGTTTAATTTTAGATAAGCAGTTTGATGCTCCTATTTTAGCCAGTGTACAAATCCCTAATTTAATATAGTGAAGAACAGATCTTGTTCTAGAACCCTGGTTACAAAGCAGAAAGGGTACTCACAGGAGGACCTCTTTACCCCTCCTTCTTGCAGAAAGGGAAAATACTTCAGTAGTAAGAATACAAAGGATTCCAGAACAGTTCATGTTGAAACTACTTGATTTCATCTCTGAAATCTTTAAACTGAGAATGCATATTTGTAATGCATATTTCTCTGTTTCTTCTTAAATTGCTTGTTTTGCAAATACTTAGATTGCATAAGCCTCCTTTGTGGCTTTTGCCTACACATATTTTATAAGCCTTTATGCAGCTTTAAGTTTCTATAACCCCTTATGTAACTTCATCTTTTTTCATGTCTTTATTATGAAAAGTAAGTCTCGTGCAAACATAGCAGAGTTGTACGGTAATTGGTTTTTAGTTTAAGCAGCTTTATAAATATAAAAATATGGATATTTATTGTGAGATAAGTAGTGATTGAGCTATTTCTTATCAAGCTCAAAAAGTCAAGAACCACTCCTGCAGGAATTCAAGCTGTTGAAGGAAGTGATTCCTTTAAAGTAGTGTGTTTGCTTGGTTTTTTTTTTTTTTATCATCCCACTCTTTTAAACTAACTTTTACTGAGGAAAAACACTGTTTTAAATAGTTGGAAGTGAATTTCAGGACCTGTAAGACCAGATGAAGCTTAAAAGAAAACTCTGAAAATTAACCAAACAAAAAAATTAACATATTGTTTAAAAAGGTTCTGAAAGTTCCTCAGAATAGTACAAGCATAAAGGTAAAGAAACGTTAGTCATTAAATAAGTGCAGGCTCCTCTTGCATGCAAAAGTCAGTGTGGAATAAAATCGGATATGAATTTAAAGTCCTGGGTTCTACCTCTGTGAAGACATTTACTCTTGAATATGCAAATACATTTGGGATAAATTCCAATTAATTAAGGGCAGGAATTTAAACTGTGGGTACTCAGTTCAGAATTAGAGTGAGCTTAATGGAATTCAGTGTAATGCACTTAGAAAGTTTATGAAAATTAACTTTCTGGAATGGCCATGGTAGACAAGGTCTAGGTTATTGCACAAAACCAGACTTGAATTAATTTTCACATGAAATATTAGTGCAGAAGAGCTATTTCACCCTGAATTCACATATTAGCTTGTTATGCATTAATTCTTCAATATAGAGAAGCTCAAAGTTAAAGGATTTTCTACAGCTTTGTAGGATTGAATTAAGAATTACAATCTTTTCACTTTTAGACTGTTTATTATCCATGATAAATAAAGTAAAACACAAGTCCCTAACTAAAGAGTGTATATACGGGCTTTATTTGCCTTCATAGTATTAAATATAGAATTACTTTTATTTTTTTTGGCTCGAAGAATTTGGAATTCTTTGGTTCTACCCAGACATGTAACCCACCATATGAGGATTGGTCCAGAATGGAAATACAGAATAAATTGTAAATTAAGTAATTGTTGCTCATTTGTTTTGTGTTTTTCTGGTGTTATTTGCCATTAGTTTATTTAGTTCTAAGTATTACATGGTTATCCTTGTTTTTCTTTTTCCTGTCTTCGATCTGAATGCCTCTTATGACAAGGGAAGAAGAAAATTGGATGATTAGAGTAGTCAGGAGGTTCCCTGAACTGTCTCTTACCTTGCTGTTAAAATTAAGCATACTTTGCTTGTTTTATTAGACTATATATAGTCTCATTCATATATATATATACACACACATTTGGGTTTTTTAACTTGGACCCAAAATGGGAACAAAATTCTTCCTTCCCTCTTCCTTCCAAGAGAAGTGAGCACAGGCTTTTATCATTGCACTGCTGTATTTGATAAATAAAATGTAGTCTGATGGTTAGATTTCAGGTTTCTCCCTGAGATACCTTGAATTTCATCTTTTCTTCATTTCATTGCCTTCTCTCTTTTTCTATCCTTTACGAGTCCACAGGGCCAATTATTTTTCACCAAGTGTCTAAATATGCACTTTTAAATTTTTTCTTTACATTTGGGGTTCTACAACCAGCAAAAGTATAGTGTAATACAGTGAAAACTAATACAAATGGTAAAATGTCTGAGGGTTATGAGGCTTGCCTTAGATTTTTGATGAGCTGCCTGGAGCTCACAACACGGTCCTATTACTTATGTGCATAGATGCAGAACTGAATATGTTTATGTTGGATAAGTTACTCTCCAGGCTTGCTGGTACTTAGTTTCTAAATACTGTTTTCTCGAAGAAATTGGTTTGAGCTTTTCAATTAAATCACCTCTCTTGACAGGCAGTTTAGTTAATTAAATCTGCTTGAATTCAAGATTCTTGTATACTGAAGAGGAGCTTTAAGGTGACCAAGAGAAATCCCAATTGCTTTTAATTTATTCAGCATTACAGAGAGCAGAAGGGCTCTAACTGTGACTCTTCAGGGTCATTGAAGTTGATATGCCTTGAAAGCTGATTGTACTAATAACTGAGGTTTTACTGAATGGGTAGAAATGTAAAGTTAAAAAAATAAAAATCTTATGCTACTATAAGTAATTCCGTGCATTTAAAAATTCATCTCTTCCATCTACTTAATTAAAAATACTAACTTCTGGAAGTGTTTGGAGGGCAGTGTTTGACAGGACATGCCTTTTGATATTAAAAGTCTGTACTTTTACTGAAAAAATATTGTTTTCCTGCATTGTAACAGGCCAGAAACTCTGAAGTTCGATCAAATGCAGCATTTTTGTTTGTTGATGCTTTTCCTGTTCGTGATCCCAGTTTTAACACTGAAGAGATGGACAACGAAATTCAGAAACAGTTTGAAGAACTTTTTGTAAGTTTTACGGAAATCAAAATGTTAAAAATACAACTTTCATCACAACTAACTCAAAAATAAGGTGTTGATGCAATTAAAATTTATGAAATTTCAGCATAGTGTTCATAGGGGAATACAGGCATGTGATGCAGAAAATACAAAAATAATATTTTAATTTTCTGTAGTATGTTGACAACAGATGACATGCACCATTTTCAACTCTGAAAAGGGAATATTTGGGATTGTTTTTCATTAATCTGTGAATGAAAGATGCTTTTGAAAGACTAGATACATGAGTAATGGATCTTGATACTTACGTAGCCTAGTACTTGTGAGGAGAGCTTTACATTTAATATGTAAGCATTCAATGGAAGTTTAGTACTGTATTACTAAATACTTCTGAAATGAAGTGTAATGGATATAAGAACCTAAAAAACTCTTCACCAGTCTAGATGGGTGAGAATGGGCATAGTATTTCCATTAAGAAAATGTTTGGAAAATCCTGAGTATGGTCTTTAAAAATGTAAACATCAGATAATTGAATTAATTTTGAAGTTTGTCTTAATTTTGCTTCTGATTTAAACTTCCTAGTTTGCTTCATAATAAAATGCCTTGAGAGAATATTAATATTACATTTCTTTCATAGTATGACAATTTGCATAATGATTAAAAGGTAATAGAATGCTATTTGTTTATGATAGGTTAATGTCAAACAACAGTAGAGTCACAATAATGCATATAGTCACATTATTATTCTTCTGTTTGGTTTAGAGTCTCTTGGAAGATCCTCATCCAGTCGTCCGCTCTACAGGGATACTTGGAGTTACTCAGATAACATCCAAATACTGGGAGATGATTCCTCCAACAATTCTTGCTGATCTTTTAAAAAAACTAACTGGAGAGCTGGCATGTGATATAACATCTGCTGATGTTCGATGCTCTGTTTTTAAAGTAAATATTTTTTTCTAAATTTAAAATCATGATTGTAATTTTTATATTTTACTTGAAGCATGGGCTTCTGGTATAGGCCACTTTTAAGTCAAGGAAATTATTTATTTTGCAAAATGACTTATACAATAAAGTTCCTAATACATGCAAGATTTGCACACATTTTATAAACGGAATGGAATGAACAAATGCCTTTTAAAATAGTGGCTGACTGGCTTTGTGACTCAACAAATTTGCATTTCTAGTCTTCTAACATTGTTTGGACCTGATAATTTAGTTATTTTAGCTATTAGAAGTTATGCTTAGACTTGAAAATGTATGCAGGCAGGTTCCAGTATGTTTCTATGTCACTGGTTTTAACTCATCCCTAGACATGCACAATTATTTTATGATTTTGTACTCCACTTTGTGTTTCTGAGGTTTGGATGAATATAATTACATACTGTTTCTCTGGGAATGCTGGCCTCCTGTGCATTGTTCAGTATATTAGGATTAGTTTATGTACATCTTTCTCGCATCTGGTAGATAACTATAATAGCTTGGACAGAAAAATGAACTTCCTAAGCAGTATTGTCACTTAAAAAAATCAGTGTATGTGTCAATTCAGCCTTAGTTTGGAGCTATCTTCATGTTAATCCTCAATTGCTCCACTACAGCTGCATGGGGGTCTTATACTGGATAAGCAGAAAGTGCTGATTTAAAAATAACTCGGCAAAATAAGACGTATTTTTAATCTGAAATCAGCAGAGTTTAGGGAGCTTGTATTTCTACCACAAAAAGTACTTGATGCTGTGCCCTCAGGTAGAAGGCAAGACCATGGCCTCAGTGTAGATCTGAAGCTGCTACATCTGAAATGAGTTCACTGTCCACTGGAAATTTGAAATAACCATAGCAATTTTTACTAAAGAATATTACAGGGAAGATATGCATGCACAGTGTCTGTCCCTACTTAATTTAACCTTAGAAGTGTCATGGTCCAGTTCAACAATTTTTAGCTACATCTTTTTGCAAATCTACTCTTTCCTTCTTTTAGCATAATCTTTTCTTCTTGCAGTGCCTACCGATAATTTTGGACAACAAACTAAGTCATCCATTACTGGAACAGCTCCTGCCAGCAGTCAAACACAGTCTTCATGACAATTCAGAGAAAGTGCGAGTGGCTTTTGTTGATATGTTGCTGAAAATTAAGGCTACCAAGGCTGCTAAGGTAGGATAAGTGACACTTGGTAAGTAGCAAGAAGATAAAATCAAGGCATTAGTTTTTTTTAAAAAAGTACCTTTTGAGACTACTGCAGTAGTCCTAAAAGGAAAAAAAAATCATGCTTCATGTAGTAATACTCTTAATTTCAGTTTTTCCCCATTTCATATATTTAAGCATGTAACTGAGTTTAAGTGGAGTTTAAGTCTAAGACTTGTGGATTCTGTTGCTGTTAGTCCCTTCTGTCCATTTTAAAGGTTTTGATCCAGATGTATTTAGTAGTGTAGAAGTATTTCTTTCCAGTGATTTCGTGAATTCTACTGAAATGATGGTGTCCATGAAAAATATTTTAAAATAAATAAAGAAATTGTAACTAATGCTGGTGAGCTTTCAGCCTTTCCATAGCTGTTCTTCACAGAAAAATTAACTACACAAGATAGTACTGTGTCTGGGTATTACTATGGCAGAGATTTTATAGACATGCTGGAAAGATTGCTTTTTAGTTGAGCCAAGTCCTTCCTCTGCCCCACATTTTTGAGTAGCTTGGGATGATTTGTAGGTCCAGTGGCATCTCTGTGCTTGCCTGCATTCTTTTTCAGTGGCTGGTGGGCTGACAAGCACTCAGCAGACCCTTTTCCTCAGCATCTTTCTGTCTTCCCTGCCCTCTCGTGGCCATGCCGGGGCAGAGCAGTTGGTACCACCACACTTCCAGCTGCCTAGCTCAAGTCAGGACTCTCTCACCTTCTAAATCCTTAACGCCTTTACTGAATTGCTTTTTTACTTTTATTTACCTACTTTTATAATTTCTATTTGTATTTTGTTGGCATGCCCTTTGGGATTTTGGTATCTTTGTATAGTGATTTTGAATGAACTTTGTGTTCTGCTGTGGACTCTTATTTAGGGTGATACTGTCCAGCCTTAGGCACTATAGCGTCTTTGAGTACTTTCGCCACTCTCTGCTGTTAATGGTTTCCTAATTTCAATTTTATATTTTATTCTAATCATGGTTTTGTCTCTTGCTAAGCCTAATTATTAGGACATGCTTATCTTGTGCTAGGCACATACATACCTCACGTAGTGTATCTCTGTTGTTCAGGAGATAAATAAATACTTGGTTTGTCAGATTTTTAAGGCTTCAGTGCTCAAGGAACACATCTATCCCTAACACGAGAATTAGCTACTTGCCAAATGTGTGCATTCCGGCTTTGATGACAGGACCTCAAAGACATATATTGAGACCACCTCAGTACCTTCCAAATTCCCCAAACTATGCTCAGAAGACAAGATAAATGGGAGGTGATTTTGGAATTCAGAGCTTTCAGCTTCTTGCACACAGGTTCAGGATAAGGATTACAATAATGCAACAGCAAGTTTGGTACTTCCGTAACACGTACCTCAATGCATTAATTAGGCAAGTCCACAGAAAATGTGAAATGGAGACAAACTCTGCAAGTACAAGGTATTATCATTCAGACTGTCAGCACGAATAGTTTGCAGTAGGAGCCTAGTAATGTTTGCAGATCTCCTGAGGTGAACAACATGCAGCTATACCTTTACTTAGACAATTGGTTCTGGTTGTTAAGATTATTGGAGATAACTGGAGGAGGCAATTCAGAGTTACAAATAAGTGGTAGTACTCTAAAAGATAGCTTTTTTTCCTGAAGTTTCTGCTTCAGCAGGTTCTAAAGCCAGGCTTTACCAGGTGAAACTGAGGTAGAATGGCAGACGTATCACTGTGACACTGGACCTCACACTGATGATGCCTGTGTGTTAGGATATGTATCACTTGGTTCACAGAAACAGCAGAAACCAGATCACGGAAGTGCTGTTCTGAAAGTGTTGGGCTCTGAAATCTTAATCGTTGTTTCTATAGTATTCTTGTGTTATTATTTATTATTCTAAAAATACTCAACAAGCATATTCCCCTGATAATCTGTTAACGTGTCATTTTTATAATCTTCTTATGTATTTTTCAATATTAGTTTCTACATCGCTCTAACATCACAGGCACTCAGCACTTCTTGTGCTGAGTTTTAACTCTTCATAAGTTTTGATATACAAGTATAATTTAAAGGACTGGCACCGACAGTCATGATTTGATCCATTAATATCAGTTATCTGTATAGTAAAATGCAACCAAGTCTTTTTAAACTTATGGAATTGCATTAGCATTGCAGGTATATTGAGCTGGAATTGCTTGAACCAGAATTTTACCAGTCTGTCAGAAGTACTGGGAGATTTAGAGGTGTGTCAGAACAGTAAAGTAGCATTGTTGCAGCAGTATGTGACGTCAAGTAAATGCTGGTATTTTGGTAAAAATTAAAAATGCTCACGTTTTTCTGGTAAATGCTATTTATATTTGTTGCGACTTTTGATGTGGACAACACTTAATAAAGGTGATTGGGTTTTCCTCTTTATTTTTTGAACTCCTTTATATTTTTCTCGCTTTAAAAAGTTCTGGAAAATCTGTCCCATGGAGCATCTTCTGACTCGTCTGGAAGTTGATTCACGGCCTGTGTCACGACGCATAGTGAATCTCTTATTCAACTCTTTCTTTCCCATTAACCAACCTGAGGATGTGTGGTGTGAGCGCTGTGTTACTCTAATCCAGATGAATTCAGCAGCAGCTAGAAAGTTCTACCAATATGCTTATGAATATACTGCCCCCACCAATATAGGTAAAGTACAAAACCTTGTAAGTCTTTGGAAATACTAGTATCACAGCATGTAATTGCTTTTTAAATTTTTTCTCTAAAAGTGGTACATTGTTGCTAGATCTTTTGTTTTTAGTATAATACTAGTTTGTGGTTTTTGAAATTCTTGGCATCAGCTATGAACTCTGTTGACAACAGTCATAAGCTTTTTCAACGATGAAGAATGAGACCAAAGCTTTTTGTTTCTGCTCTTAGGTGCTGTACTATACTCTCTAGCCGTGGTTGTTATCTGGTCTGTCTTTTCCCCTTTCTCCTCACATGTACCTTAAAACTATCTAAGTTAATATTTATTTATCATGCAGAAATAGTGAAATAAAATATCCTGGTGTCTCAAGTGATTTGAGATCTTTATGTGTAAGATTCTATAGAAGGTGAAAAATACTTATGTCTGATAATCTGTTTATCTGGGATTTGTGGATCAGTAGTATTTTCAAGTTGCTCGGAGAAAATCTAAAAAGCCCTCCTTCCCATTAAAAGCTCCAGAAACTTTCAGTGAAAAGGGTATGTACTGCAGAGAGTATAGCTGCTTTTTATAAAAGTGCTATTGAACTAAGTGAAATTGGGAAAAGTTGGTTTCAGAGGAGTTCTGGTACGGTAAAAACACAGTAGTCAGCATGGAGGGACTTGGGTAAAAGGCCCAAGCCATTGCCCCGTGACTGATTACCTCGGTAAGGTAGCTTTGAAATAACACATGCTAGGGTATTTCAGCTAGTCATACTTTCACCAGAGTGGGCATAACCCTTTCACTGTCTAGAGATGAGCTTCTCATTAAGGAGTGCAATGGTTAGGCTACTACATCTTTTATAAATAATTGGAATTGACACTGGAAGGGATGTATTATTGAACATAGGTCATTAAGTTAATAGCTATGCCAGATGAATGTAGGAGTTGTGGGAGCTTCCTCTGATCCTGATTTGTTAAGGTGGTGGTTGTGGTTTTATTTGAGTAGCCTTTTTTTAACAATAAAATTATAGAACCTGGTGATAATGTTGCCTTTTCTTCTTTATACTTGAGGATATAAAACATTTTCACATCTTTTCCACTTCCTTTTACCAGGAAATTTTATCTGGTTCTGTTGCCTGCTTTTCAGATTGGCTTTCCAGCATTACACTTAGAAGCATTGACTAGCAACATTCTTAACAAATAGTAAATGTTTAAATTAATTTTATTATATTTAAATCTAGCTAAATTGATGCTTACTATTCGGCGCTGCTTGAATGCCTGCATCCAGAAAGCAATGAAAGAGAGTCTTCATGATAGTGATGATGATGATGATGGAAGTGAAAAGGAGAATACAAGTGTAAGAGAGTCCACTTTATGATAAGTTCTGGTAACTTTTTTTCTGTGGTGCTTAATTTGAGACAAAGGCACTTAATGATATGACAGAAGTCTGAAGGAAAGCACTTGGGCATCTGTGGAATTAAAAGGGGAGAACTGTCATTATGGTGTTTTCATGTCCTGCAGTAGCAGAAATTCAGTGAAGTAGCTAGAATAAAATAGAAGAAATATGAAGCATATTTTAAATGAATTCCCTAATTCCAATACAAATTATAAATTGGTTTGATTCTGCATTTAAATTATTCAAAAAATTAATGTTGCAAGATGACTCAAGTTATATAGAGAAAGAATGAATTGTGGAGTTCATGTTCTACAACAAACACAATGCCTTTGTGAAATTAATAGAAGGATTTTCAGTTTTTTGTAAACCTTATTTTAGCCTAAATTTGTATTTGAGAATATAATAGGTGTTTGTATTTCAGGTGTTGAATAATGTGTTGTCAATAAATGATGTGGCCAGCATGGCAAGTTTATTGGAGATTACTGTAATTCTCTGGAGAAGTATTCACAAAGCACTAGATCACAATGAAGATGCCAAAGATTATGCTATCAGAAAATTTGCTTCTGTACTTCCTGAATATTTTAAAGTATTTAAGGTAAAGAAAGCCTAGATTTTCCTGTAAGTGCTTAGTATTTTCTTCAGATGCCTTCATGTGTTATGTCTTTTATCTATTTTCATGGCATTAAGTATTCTTTTTCATTGTTGCTATAAACCATAAACAATAGCCAGTTTCTTGGAATTCCACAAATAGAAGCTATTCTCCAGTTGCAATATCTGACTGATGAACCATTAGCTAAATAGTCAACACAGAAATACTTATGCAATAAATAGCTCTCCTTGTAATGTTTTTATAGGATTCCATTCTTTTGAATGTTTTTGGAACTTTTGGAAATCAGTAACTGAACATATGCCATTGCAGTATAAATACGCAGTGTAGATGAGAGTCCACAGGTTTTTTTACCCACTACCACCCAAACCCTTCCACCACCACCACTTCTTAGTATGGTCCAGCTGCTGGAACAGAACGCTGAAGCAGCTGAGGCTCCTTTTTCACTGTCTTGTGATTGATTTCTGCTAATTTGATTCTACTCTCTAATGATCTTTTGATGCACTTATTTGTTGTTTGGGTTTGATATAAGCAATTAATTAAAATCAGTCATTTTCATATTTTCAGTCTCCTTGATCTGTTTAATTGTTCTAATATTAGTCTTCAAGATGCTGTCTTTTGATAGTGGCTAACTGCACCCTGCAGTGCATTTGGAAGGATTGTCTACTGGACATCTTTTTTTTTGCTTATGACTTTTATGCTGAACTATACTGAGTTATGCTGGCTGTTATATTTACAACGTTCAAGTTTGTTTTAGATAACCAGGGAGCAGAAAGCAATTCAATGCTACGTAATATTCTGCAGCACAGATATACCAAATGCTCTCTCTACCCTGAAAGCATCTGGAAGTTGTCAAAGACATTCCAAATCTTTTGTGGTAGAGGATGTACCATCCCTCCTGAAAGGTTCTGGTGAGCAGACACGATATCCAGCTTTAGCAAGCAACCTCTTTGACTTTGATATTCTTACAGTGAGTAAGCAGCTTGGATCTAAAAAGACCTGTCATCAGAGGCTTGATTTCTAAAAGCCTACAGATTGAAGCAGCATGTCTCTTTCCTGAAAAGCTACAAATATATTTTTAAATGTTCTTTTAAAAATGATCTTTAAAAGGTTTTAGCTCTTCAAATGTCTAAGTAGATAATAGTTTCATTTGATTGTATTTGTGAATCTTGGACATACATATATACTATTTTTGAAGAGTCTTTCACATAGATTGGTTTCTATATAATCCGAGTGAGACTGTGTCATGGTCTAGACCTTGTATTATGATGTGCTGTAAGAACTTGTACTGCATTTTACATTACCATTGCTATGTAGGCACCCTCTCCTTTAGAGTCTTTTTTATAAATTTCTGATGTGAATGAACATTCATTTAAGGCACTAGTTACTTGGGAGGACTTAGATGGTGTCATGATTGTGCAATTAAATATTAGCCTCTACTAGAAAAAAAGTAAGCTAGAGCTGTTATTTCTTTTGCAACGGTTGTTAATCTAATAGAGCCGTAATTATTCATGGTAGTTCTGACAGTTTGTCAGAAAGCTGAATGATAATTGATAATTGACCTCTGAGAATAGGAATCAGAAGTTTCAGATTGCAAGCCACGTGTTGTTATGAGCTTCTTTCAGTTCCATTTCTAGTGAAAAAAGGGAAATCCTTAATTTGAGATAATTCAGTCATACTTTTTCAGTATTCTCTTTAGTTTTGTGTGCATCTGTACATGTACATCATATAGTGTACTTTTTTTATCCTAGGATGAGCGTTGCATGACTCCTTTGGTTATTCTGGCATCCTTTATGCCCCCTGCTGCTATTCCTACATTCAGGTACTATTTTAAAATCCAAAATATGAATTACAAGAAATCTCTTGTTGACTGTATTTGTTAATTTTTCACAACTTGACATATTAAATGCCCATTTAGATAAACTAATCTACTAAATAAATTTGATAAGTTAGTAAAATCTGTGAGGTGCAAATATGCCTTTGAGCCATTGCTGAATCTTTTTTGGTATTATACCAGTATTTTCTTTGAATTATTTCTACACTGGATGCAAAGCTAATGCATGTCTTATTTTTTGTTTGTTTTCTTTTTAGCTGTGGTGTGATCTCCAGACTCAGAAATATTGACAATGGAGCTGACCAAAGCAAATATTCTATCCTGATAGACTGCATGTGTCGCTGGGGTCAAGTGGGACATATTATGGAATTAGCCTGTGATTGGTTGTCTGACACGCTAACCCCAAGAGAGGTGTGCATATGCATACATCAAAGAATTAAGGAATTTCTAGATTCCATAAAGTCATTGTGCTTTTTTTTATTTTTTAACAGCAAAAGCCTCTTTAATGTCATATTATTCTGATCTGGAATTAGTTGTGAAGTAAGATACTAACAGTATTGTACTGGTTTTGTGGTTTCTTCTCCTTTAGAGTATTAAACCATCTGAACGACGAGTACGTATCCATGTGACAAAGGAATCAAAGCCAGAATTAGCAATTGATTACATTGAGTATTTATTGACTCATCCTGTCAATCGCAGTTGCCTACTCTCCGTTCCTAAAAAGAAACTGAAGAACCTTTTGAAAACGCTCAGTGCTGCAAAGGTAGTATTCTCCTTACCATAAACAGTGCTCATAAAAGAGAGCTTAACATCAAATATTGCCTGAATCAAATTAAAGGCCTGCAAGAACAAATAAATAAGATTCATGATCCCTTCCTCCCCTCTCTAAAAAGGTTTTCCTTTTGATTTGTACTTCAAATATTCTAAACTAGAAGTATATTAGTTCAGAATTGCTTATGAATGGCAGATTTTAACCAGCTTGTCATTTTTAAGTGTCTCAAAATTTTTGTGGTCTAGTGTTGAGCATTTTTAAGGCACTGACTTTTGGAATTTACATGTAAGGAATAGTCTGAAAATTAGATACGGCATTGCAAAATAGAAGTAATTGAAAGTATGTCTATTGTTTTTTGGGGGTTGGGGAAGGTGTTGGTGTGGGTTTTTTTTTAAAAACTTGTTCAAAGCTGTTGAGAAAAGAAACATTTGAAAGGATTTTCTGGAAAATATAAATGTAAACTTTAATATTTCAGGAGGTTCTTGGCTCAATTCTGAAAGCAAATGATGGAGGTTCTGGTAGCTGCAATCAAACAACTGGCCTAAGAGCCTTCAGCCTCTTTTGCAGGTTGAGTATTCATCTTCAGAGCAAGGTATGGTTATACCTTTTCAAGTATAAGCTGGTGTCACAGCTGACAGTATAAGGAAATTCCAAAAGAATTGGAAAGACAATTGGTAAACAACTTCTAATTTTTTTCCAGTTTTCTGAAGAAGGAAAAGATTACCTCTCACTTCTGAAGGAGACAGGTGCTTGGATAGAAAGTCAAGTTGTACCTTTTATACTAGCAAGTGATCAAGAGGATGGCAATTCAAAATACAGTAATGTTTCTGAATTAATTATCCAGGTTAGAGGTCTTTTATAATATAAATCGTACTGCTACCAATCTGAAAAGCCATATATGTAGCAATTGTATACTAACAAACATAGTGCACTGGAGTTTTTGGAGCCCAGCAACTGAATGAGCTAATGAAATACAGTCCTGATTATTCTGAGGTTACAGTTTTGTGCTTTTGCTGTTCCTTTGATTGCTTAAAATCACACACTTTTTAAAAAAATTGCTTTGAGTTTAGTTATAACCTTTATATTTTATACATATAAAAATGTATAAATATAATTGTGCATACCCTAGCAATTAAATCAAGTAGTTGGAGTCAACAATACCTTGTTCTTATCTAGACTTTTTTCACCTACCAGTGCATAATATATATTCTCAACATATCTGTTGGAGTGAAGATGGAACATGTTTTATGTTTCACCCTTGTGAAAATGCCCACTCAAGAAATTTCTAGCACAGCAAGCTGGGTCTCCCCATTTTTAGGTTTCTAACAAGTAATTCTTGTCCTCAGTCTCTCATCCCCCATATTAAATAAAGGTAATATTTATGCTGTTTGATGAAAAGTGCATCAACATAAAGTTAAGATTGTCACTGAATCTCAGTTCTGAAAAGGAGAAGAAAATTAGTTCCTGAAAACAAGGGTATAGTTATGTGGTATGCTAGCACTTAATAGCCTGTTCTTCTGTAGCGTAGAAGGTCCTGGAAATGACATAGAATCACTGCAGCTGCATACATTGTGTTGAATAGCACAATAGGGGATGACTTAGAAGACCAGGAAGATGGTGTAATTATGAGAGAGGATTTAGATCTAATCATGTTTGCTTGCTTACTTTCTTCCTTCCTTTCTTTCCTTCCTTCCTGCTTTACCAAAAGAAATAGGTAAAATTATACCCTGAGGAATTCAGTATGCTTCATTCTAGTGCTGAGTCCCATAGAACATATCTTTGGAAGTGTCGTGGTTTAGCCCCAGCCAGCAACTAAGCACC